GGGGTTGAGAAAACCATTTTCTTCTTGATAAGAGAAAAATAAACATTGTAAAGGGACAAGCATAAAGGACAGTAGGAATTATTACAGCTATCTTTGCAACTAATCTGCAGCACAGGTTTAACAAGTTAATTACGAATATGTATAAGATCTATATAGAACAAATCACATAACTTTACTGAAAGACTTTGAAAAAGTTCTACATTAAAAAAAAGAAGCATACATGTTCATGAAGAAGAAGACTATGTTATAAACTGTTGATTCTTTCTACATCTTCAATCAATGCTAGTAAAAATTTTACAAGGTTTTCAAGGAATTTGATAAGCAGAAGACCCAAAACTATCCAAGACCCCCCTGAAAAAGAAAGCAGGGAAATAGCTTGAAGAGAGGATTTTGACGGGTCTTATCACAAAGAAATGATTAATATAATGGAAACCTACATATCCTGAGTTGATTATTGCACCATGTATAAACACATAAAACCTCATACTATTCCTCCTGAAGATGTACAATTATTATTTGACAAATTAAAAGCACATTTTTTAAAAGAATGAAAGAAAAAATGACATTTTAAAAATAAAAAGGAAAGAAAGGAGAGAAGAAGATCATCCTACCAGATATAAAAGCTTATTATACAGCTTCAAAATTTGAGATACTGCAGTATTCATGAATATATATATATATATATATATATATATATATATATATATATATATATATATTTTGATATGTGATGAAGGAATCATAACAGGTCACAGAGACTAAGCAATAAATTGTGTTGGAATAATTGTTTGCCACCTTAAAAAGTGTATTCCTATTCAAGCCATATAAAATAATCCATTAGTGATATACTGAAGACTCAAATGTGAACATTTTAAACTTCTAGAAGAAAATATAGGAGAAGCTTATTTTTACTTTCATGTAGAGGAGGTTTTTAAAAATAGAAATAGTGTACTAAATGTAAAAATAAATATTAGTAAAGTTATCTGGAGGAAAATCAAGAATTTTTAAAATATTGTACAGAAAGAAAATACCAAGTCAAACTTGTTTTTGCAACAGTTCTCTAATCCAGAGAATTATTATCCAGAATATAAAAACTCCTGAGAGTTACTGAGATAAAGACTTATAAGCAATAGAAAAATGGTCAAAAAGTAGAAATAGGTACCAAAAGAGAAAACACAAATGGTAAATAAATACTTGGAAAGACACTCAGTCATTACTTTTTAACCAGACAATGCAAATAGGACAACTGTAAAATACTATTTTATTAGACTGGCAAAAAAAAGTCCCCCAACTGTTCTGAGGATGTGCTTTAAGGTCTCATACAACTGCTTTGGAAAACAATCGGTCAGTATTGTCTAAAGTTGAATATCAGATGCCCCAAGACCCAGAAATTCTACTCCTATATTTATTTTCTAAAGAAACACTTAATATTATACTAGAAGATTATTTTAGTTAATTTTATGCTGCTAAATCAGAATACCTAAGGCTAAATAATTTATAAAAAATAAATAAAGATTCATTTCTTACAGTTTGGGAAGTTGGAAAGTCCAAGGTCCAGGGGTCTATATCTGGTCAGGTCTTCTTGCTGCATAGTAACAGTGGTATAAGGACAAGAGAGAACATGAGAGATGGACTCACAGCCTCAAGCCCTTTTTTAATTGGCAATAGGCCCCACCTTCCAATACTTGCATTGAGAATTAACTTTCTAACACATGCTTCTGAGGGGAATATGTTCAAACCAAAACAGAGATGTGTAAAATAAAGATGCAGGGCAGCACTGTTCATAATAGAAAAAAAAAAACTACTTGATTAGACACTACATTGCAAAGAAATTATTAAAGACACTCTTCTGCAAAGAATCACAGAATATACTTTTTTCCTTATAGCATCCAATTCAGGGCAAAGTCTTAACTTCCTTAGATCCTTCTCAAAATTATCCAGTCATAGCCCCCATCCAATAAGTTTCTTTCTAACAACCCTCTTACTGAGACACTCCACAGTTCCGCATGGAATGCACTTTCTCTAGGTAAGAAACAATAAACCCAACTTGTTCAACACCAGGTGTGTTTTGGTGGTCTTTGGCTGGGGGGTATGACAAGATGAACAAAGTACTCTAACTGATTTCCCTTCTTTCTAGACATGTGAGCAGATGGTTAAATATTGATGTTGGCTGCCTTTGAAATCTTCAAATGCATGTGTTCCGTGTAGGTGGGACCCATAATCATTGCTGTGGAGAAAGTGCAGAAAGTGTGGGGTTTAGGGTATTAAATGTGATTTCAGGTCCCAGGAATGGGACCAGGCACTAGGGAATAAAAGTTGTGCCAGTGAAGTGCCATCAGGGCAACTTTTTCCAGCCAGCAAAGAGGAAGTAATTACTATGTCCTCTCTTGACTCAATTTTCCTCCACTTTTTGGCAACTTGGAAGAAAGATGAGAATATAGAGATTGGAACCAAGCTGGCTCAAGCCCAAAGGAAAGAAAAGAAATAAAAAGGTAAAAAAGGATTAGATCTCAAGGTTCCAAAATGGCTAGGTATGGTTGAGACTGGCTGTGGTTGTGCTGGTCAGGGAGGTGGGTATGCTGTTCCCAGAACACTTAAGGACAATTCAACCAGATTTAGTGTTTCCAACACACTTTCATATCCACTATCCATAAGCTTCATGCAGACATTTTATAGATGACAAAATGGGTTCAGAGAGGTTATACAAATTATTCAGAATCTTTTGGTCCATAAGATGTACGAGCAAGGCTTCATCTCCCTTGAGCTCATTCCTTTTACCCAAACAGCTTGGCCAGCAGGAGCCCCCAGCTGCATCTTCAGAAAACACACTACAGGAAGCCAGAGTAGCCAGGAACCGGATGAAGAAGAATTTCCTCTGAAGGGTCACTCAGAAGAGCTCCTGACCCTTCTTCTCTCTCCTCCTTCTTATAAACAACTAAGGAGTTATTCACAAAAAAACAAAACACTACAACGAGGAGTGACACAAGGTAGTATTTAAACTGGCCACTGGGCCTGCATAACCCCAGAATGGTTTCCCTGAAATAACAAGAGGAAGCGGCTCCCATCCATCCACATCATCCCCATGACTCATGCATTTAGCTCTTCCTTAGTTTGTGGAAATGAGACAATCGTGGTGCTGATGTGACAGGTTGCTGGAAATGGGCATTGTGACCTCTGAGAGCCATCCAGACAAATCTCCCTGTTGGGAAGTTCCATTGGCAATTACTCCATGTATCCCTGAGTGCCCCGGATGCTTGGACTGACTGAGAAGGATCCTTAATGCCTAACAGGAAGGGCTCAGAGTGATTGGTCCCTCCATCATCCTCTTTAGTTCTTAGCACTTGGCTCTTCAGAGTCTGGGAGCAGGGAGTGGTTGTTCAGAAGGTGACCTCCAGACATGGGACAAGTGACTATTGGGATAGGGACCATTCCTCAGCTGCCACAACCTCTGGGGTTTCATCCCTGTGGTATATCACCAGCACTTCTCCTTGTCTCACCTGTTCATTCTCACTTGGCTGAGGATAGGGCTAGTGGTGGACTTGAATTCCTTTAAGACCTGTCTTCTTTTTCCTCGGGGGCAACACATAGCATCTTTCTGGATTATAGAAACTTGAGTAAAATCAAATTGGCATTAAAACATTAGCAGAGAACTTGGTTGGTCTCCCCCAAGTACAATGTAGGAACAGGAGTGACTTTAAGGAGTGACTCTTTGTTCACAGCAAAATTCTTGCAGGGAGCAGCAAGGTTCTCAATAACTCTTGGAGGCTCCCTGGCTGGGAAATTTCAAGTTGGCCCTAGTGAAGTAAGCCCATCTGCTCCCCCTGACATCCTTTCTTGTCTTTTCCATGGCTCACTTTAGTGTCTGTATGAATGTTCCTTTATCAATCTGGCCCTATGGATCTTTGGCCCTGTGAACCCCACTCCCCTCTGCCGGCCACACATGGACCCAAGTCTCGGACTTGGCCACACTCCCTTAACCACTTCCACTTCTGAAATCTCACATTCTGTTCTCTGGCTCTAGTGCCTGTCCTTCTAGCTGTCACTCTGTTACATTCATTCTGTCTGTTCTTAATGCTGTGGAAGCCCCTAGTTCGTAGAGACCATGGTGTTCTGTTGCTCTGATTCAGTCTTAACTGATCTTGGTCTCAGTTTGAGGGGAAAGAGGAGAAGTGAAAGAGGCCTTCCATTGGGTAGGCTGTTAGGGCTGAGGCTGGCCCTGAAGCCTGGCTGTTTTGGAAGGGGAGGAAGGGTGGGAGCCAGCTGGGTTAGGGGCCCTGCGGAGAAGCTGTTCAGAACAATGGAGAACAAAGCCTAGTCGCTCTTCCGCTGAGGCCTAGAGCCTGGCCTTGGCCTTCCGTGAGCAGCTCCAGGAAATGGCTGAGATTCCAGATTTGGAAGGAAGAGACCTGTAAACAGGAGCTGGGCTCTGAGAGGGGAGAGCAGCCTCTCCAGGTTGTGGGGAGGGGCTGATATGGCAGACTGGGAAGCTGCAGAGCCAGATGTTCTGATTCTTTCCTATCTTTTGGCCTCCCCTGCCCCAGCCCCATGTGTCTCTGGGGAAATGGACCATGGACCATGGAGTGCGCATCCACTCCTGCTCCTCTGCACGTATTCTCCATGGCTCACAGCCCCATTGCCCTCTGTCCTCAGCTTCTTAGCACTGTGTCCCTATGTTCACCTCTTAGTTTCCGCTCTACTATGACAAGGGGCCACCTGGATGCAAAGGGGTAAAGACTGAGATTCAAGAATAGTATTTAGGTAGAATTTTAAGGTTGGAGGATTAAGGAGGTGGGTAAAGTTATGGTGTTAGGATTCCCTTTAAGAAATTCCAAACCAGACATGAGGTAAACCTTAGGATTGTAGTTAGGGTCAGGGGTTATGGCCAAAAGGTGGAGGTCAGGGAGTTTCTCGCCTCTAATCTCCGCCCAATTCTCCAAGGCATTGAGGGCCAGGCAGGAAGCATCGGTTTCCTCAAAGCTGCTTCCCTACTGGGGCAGAGTCTCAGTCACAAACAACCACGGCCACCCCACCCAGCCCCTCCTTCTCTCTGCTATGAGCTCAGAGCAGCGGGACAAAGTTCTCGGGACACAGACGGAGAGGCCTGAAAGCAGCCATGGGATCTGGAGGAATGGGCCTCCTTAGGGTCAGGTGGCTCCTGTTTCTCCTTCTTCTGCTCGTTCTGGGTGAGTGGGGCCCTCCCTCTCCTAGCCCATGCTCCCTGATACAAGGCTCAAAGAACATTGGCTCTTTTGCTTCCCTTTGCAGTGAGCATGCCAGAGATAAGATGATGGTAACGATAGTGTGTATGTGTGAGTAAGTGTGTATGACAGAGAGACTATGCAAGCTCTGGCCTGGATGCTGTGCATGCTGGCCCTGACCTCTCCCAGCTAGCTTGTTATTTGGGAATGAACTGTCAGTAGTACAGACCGTCAGACAAACTCCTGCACAGGGGAACATAGTATGGTGCATGGATTTGGGAGTCTTGTGGATAGTCAGACCCAGCTCTGTTTCCTTTTCCCTCCCAGGCAGCAAGGCTCAGGAGTTCCCACCTCAGATTCTAGTTCACCCCCAGGACCAGCTGCTCCAGGGCTCTGGCCCTGCCAAGATGAGCTGCAAAGCATCAGGCCAGCCACCTCCTACTATCCGCTGGCTTCAGAATGGGCAGCCTCTGAGCATGATGTCCCCAGACCTACATCACCTCCTACCTGATGGAACTCTTTTATTGCTGCGGCCTCCTGCCCGGGGACATACCTATGATGACCAGGCCCTATCCACAGTCTTGGGCGTGTACACATGTGAGGCCAGCAATGAACTGGGCACAGCAGTCAGCAGAGGGGCTCGGCTGTCTGTAGCTGGTGAGGACTGGGAGGGGAGGCGGAGGGTGGTGAGACCTGAGATGAGATATTTGTGCTGAGCAATGTGTAAGGGGAAACCTGGCTGGGGGACCTTGGAGGGAAAGCTGGCTTTGCCTGAACCTACATGTGAGGCTTAGAAGGTGGGCAAAGCAGAATGGGGTGATTATGGCAGGAGATGCCAATGCAAGACCCTGGGAAAGGGAGGCCTGAGCCCTGAGTCCTGCTGACCTACTGTCCTCCCCACAGTCCTCCAGGAGGATTTCCAGATCCAGCCTCGAGACAAGGTGGCTGTGGTGGGGGAGCAAGTTATTCTGGAGTGTGGACCACCCTGGGGCTACCCAGAGCCCTCAGTTTCATGGTGGAAAGATGGGAAACCCCTAGTTCTGCAGCCAGGGCGGCACACGGTGAGTGGAGCCCCCTTCTATCCTTCATTCTGTCCTGGGCACAATTGGTGTATCTGAGGGACTGACGGACTCCCTAGCCCTGTATCCCCTGGCAGAATTAGAGGAGAGGAAATCCTGAAGCTGCCCTCCAGCCTCAGAACCCCACCCACATTGAAAACTTTACTTTGTACATGCCCTGACAGATGTCCAAGGGTTCTCTGCTGGTGGAAAGAGCAGAGAAGAGCGATACAGGGACCTATATGTGTGTGGCCAACAACAATGCAGGACAACGGGAGAGCCGGGCAGCCAGGGTATCTGTCCAGGGTAAGGGATGGTCTGCTTAAGCAGGTTGGGGGAGTTCTAGTTAAGATGGGATGGTCAGATTTGGATTTATATTAAGGTATCAGGGCTCACCCTGGGATCAGGATCTGGGTCTGGGTGACGGGGGCACACTGTAGGGGAAGTTTCCCCTTACTGGAGTGAAATAGGAGCATCCTAGACCTAAGAACTCTGGGAGTTTGGGTTCCTCCATGGCTGGGGGATGTTACACTCCTCCATCTCTTCACTTTGGCCTGTAGGCCTCACCCCAGCCCTATGCTTCTCACAGAGTCCCAGGACCACAAGGAACCTCTGGAACTTTTGGCTGTGCGCATTCAGCTAGAAAATGTGACCCTGCTGAACCCAGATCCTGAGAAGAGTCCCAAATCGGGGCCTATTGTATGGCTCAGCTGGAAGGTAAGACACAGGACTCAGGGGTAAGAGCCAGTTCAGAGCTCAAGAAAGTATTGTTGGGAGCTCCCTAACCACCCCTCACCCTTTCTCTACCTTCACAGGTGAGTGGTCCAGCTGCACCTGCTCAGTCCTACACAGCCTTGTTCCGGACCCAGACTGCCTCAGGAGGCCAGGCAGTTCCATGGGCAGAGGAGCTGCTGGTTGGCTGGCAGAGTGCAGAGCTTGGGGGCCTCCACTGGGGCCAAGACTACGAGTTCAAAGTGAGACCATCCTCTGGTCGGGCTCGAGGCCCTGACAGCAATGTGCTGCTCCTGAGGCTGCCAGAACAAGGTCAGGAACAGATCTGCCCAGAACCCAACCCCAGGCTCCTTCTTGACTGAGTACCCCTGGACTGTCCCACTCTTGGATTCTCTTCTTCCCTAGCCAGGCAAGCAGAACTAAACAAAGCTTCTATTGTCTTTAACGGGACTCTAACTCTTTGTCTCCCATTCTAACTTTTTTTCCTGAAAGAGTCCTGAAGGATTAGTATTACTTAGCCTCTCTACCTTCCCTCCAGTGCCCAGTGCCCCACCCCAGGAAGTCACCCTAAAACCTGGCAATGGAAGTATCCTTGTGAGCTGGGTCCCACCACCTGCTGAAAACCACAATGGTGTCATCCGTGGATACCAGGTATACTTTACAAACGGACAAAGCCTTTCTTCAAGGGACCATCACCCCCCTTTTCTTGCTGTAGCTACTGAGGAACCGTACCTGTGCATAGCACAAGAAAAAGAACACGAATTGAACCAGGCTATATCAGTGGGACTCAAAGTGTGGTTCTTGGATCCACAATATAAGCATCACCCCTGGGAACTTATTAGGAATACAGATTCTCAGGTCCTTTCCCAGGCTTCCTGAATCAGAAACTCAAGAATGGTCTTGGCCACCTGTATTTTAAAAAGGCTATAGGTGATTCTAAAGCATGCTGAAGTTTCAGAACTGATAGTGTTAGGCATATTTAGCAAATTACTTTACCCTTCTTCTGTCTAGAGAAAAGTCTATCTTGCTTGGTAGAGAAGCGGGGAATAGGAACTATGACACTTGTTGGGAGGAGGGTCCCCAGTAGGTGGCAGCACAGGATGGCCACATACTGAGTCTGCAGATTGAAGGAAGGCTCAGTTGCTGTGACAGTGCCTGAGACAGCTATTCACCTTTGCTTCTGCCCCAGGTCTGCAGCGTGGGCAATACCTCATTGCCCACAGTCAACTGGACCGTAGTGGGTGAGCAGACCCAGCTGGAGATCACCACCCGAATACCAGGCTTCTACTGTGTGCAAGTGGCTGCAGTCACTGGTGCTGGAGCTGGGAAACCCAGTACCCCTGTCTGCCTCCATTTAGGTGAGGACAGCACCCTCAGGCCTTACCCATATCCTCTAGCCCCCCTTCCCCTCCCCTATCCTCTCCTGCCTCACACTTCCAGCTGCTTCTTCCTATCTGCTGGACCTCACTTGACCTCCTCCTGAGCTCCACATCCCATCCTATACAGAGCAGACCAGTGAGCGATCTGCCCGAGAACCCAGCAAGCACCGTCTCTGGACCCTGGAGCAGCTGAGGGCCACCTTGAGGCGGCCAGAGGTCATCGCCAGCGGAGGTGTCCTGCTCTGGCTGATGCTGCTGGGTACTGCTGTGTGCATCCACCGCCGGCGCCGAGCTGGTGTGCACCTGGGCCCAGGTGACAGTGGGGTCCTCCCGGTACACAGGCCTCCCCTGGTCCAGCCAGAATGGCTACTACAGAAGTTTAGATCTCTGGCCAAATGATAGATTTAGCCTTTCTCTCACTTTCAGGTCTCTACAGGTACACCAGTGAGGATGCCATCTTAAAACACAGGTGAGTAATCAAAGGGGAGGGACATTGAATAAAGGAAAGGCAGAGGGGGATCAAGAAACAGTGGAGTTGGGATAGGAAATATAATGCCAGGCAGTTTGGAATCTTAGTATCTGAATCTCTCCAGGGACTCCAAGTGACAGCTAATTTCCCTTTCACTATTGTTCTATTGTACCACTTGACAGCTGAGAGTCATCAAACAAGAGATTCTGCTAAAGGCTTCAGTTAGCAGCTGGCTTTCTGTTTTGTTTGTTGTTGTTGTTGTTGTTGTTTGGTGTTGGGGGTTGAACCCAGGGCTTTGTGTATGCGAGGCAAACACTCTACCAACTGAGCTATATCCCCAGCCCTAGCAGCTGGGCTTCTGAAACCCCCATCCAATGCTCTTGTCACCTGCCTCTTACTGACATGCACTGCACTCTATTAACTCCAGAGTTAATAATAATAATTACAATATGACCAGTTTTAATGTCTAGTTTTCTCTATACTCGGTGTCTACCTAGTAGTGCCTTTGCATTCTGTGAATAATCTTGCATTGAGCAACCAGACCTGCACCATTATTCATCCATACTTCCAGCAGAGGGCATTCAATCCCTACATCTTAGCTTCTAACTCATTGTTCAAAAACAGGGCCAGCCTGTAGGTACTTCTGCTCCATCTGATTCGCTGCCAAATCATGAGACATGATACTAAGAAAGTATGCATCCTTTTTTCTCCTAGTAGCCAGGTTTTGCACTAAGAAGCCATTCCATCTCTTTGCCTACTTGTTTTGCTCTTCATTTGGTTGAATTTCCTATAGGAGGCTTCACACTATAGATCTGCATTGGTCAACTAAAGTTTATTGAGAATCTTTTATGTGCTATATATATCCAGGCCTTGAGCTGCCCTTTTTTTTGGGGGGGGGGGGTACCAGGTATTGAACTTAGGGGCACTCGACCACTAAGCCACATCTCCAGCCCTATTTTGTATTTTATTTAGAGATGGGGTTTCACTGAGTTGCTTAGCACCATGCTAAGTTGCTGAGGTTGGCTTTGAACTCACAATCCTCCTGCCTTAGCCTCCCAAGATATTGGGGTTACAGGTGTGCATCACCACACCAGAGGAGCTGCCATTTTGCTGTCAGATTCTCTGTCTAGAACAAAGTTCCAAGCTGGCTGGCATTGTGTTCCTGAGTTTTTCTGTGTTCATTGGCTTCCCTCTTCCAGGTATCTCCTGAGCACTGCGTGCTCCAACATGAACTTTCTCTGGCTCCCCTGGGATCTTCTTTGTTCTTGAAGGAGATTCCATTCTAATTGTTTGGTTCATCCGTTCCTTTGGAATAGTCTCCATCCACCAGGAAATTTCAGTCTAGGCAGAGACAGGCATGAAAACAACCCAGTTTTGGCAGCACAAAAGCATGTATAATATGCATGGAAAGGATTGGAGTGGAGAAACAGGAGAAAAAAAAATTCCATATTTATTCTGACAGTAAAAATGGAAAGGGCAGATGGAGAAACAAAAAATCACCTGCTACATCCACAGGAAAAGACAAGTCTTTTTTCTGGTTGGGGAATAAGGTATGAATGTGTTAGAGCAAAGTTAGGTTAGGAAGCTGGAAACCAAACCAAGGGCCATGTTCACCGTGCTAGGCATTTGGACTCTTACCTTGGTAAACAGGGAGACACTGAAAGTTCTAGGTAAAGAATTGCTTTGGTCAGGTCCTTGTTCTTAAAGGATCACTTAGGTAGCTGGAAAGCAATATTCATGTAGCAAGCTCTTAATTTACCAGCTGAATTTCCTCCTTTAAATTCACAGTGTCAACCTTATATGAAAGGTCTTATTGTTTCCATTTTACAGATGGGTAATCATGGGCTTAGACAAGCTAATTGATTTACTTGACAGGGGCTGTAAACTGTAGTGGCTAGGGATTGTCAACCCATGTTTGCTGGCTCCAGATCTTTTTTTTTTTTTCTTCATCTCATTGTCCATAGTTTTCTCTCCTTAATACCCCACAGCTCTTGGCAACTTGGTCTTTCCCTGGTCCCAGGATAAAAAGAGGTACTGAGGGGCTGGAGCTGTGGCTTAGCGGTAGAGTGCTTGCCTAGCATGCATGAGGCACTGGGTTTGATCCTCAGCACCACATAAATGGAAAATAAAGATATTGTGTCTACCTAAAATTAAAAAATAAATATTTAAAAAAAAAAAAAAAAAAAAGAGGTACTGAATTTGGGGCACCAAGTCAGAGTCTGTGGATGGCTGAAAAGCAGTAAAGATAAAGCTGATACTACCCTCTCATTAACTTCTTCTGAGCTAACGGTCTTGGCCAATTAGGTTCCCATTTTTCTCCCTGCCTAATGCCCCCCACCCACCATTACCATTGCCCCAGAATGGACCACAGTGACTCCCCCTGGCTGGCAGACACTTGGCGTTCAACTTCTGGCTCTCGGGACCTGAGCAGCAGCAGCAGCCTCAACAGTCGACTGGGAGTAGACCCCCGGGACCCTCTAGACTGTCGGCGCTCCTGTAAGCATAGTTTTTGGGGGCAAGGATCCCAGGGATGGAGAGTGGGGAGGTGGGCTACAATGTGTTCACCATAATTCCTCCTGTCGTTTTTATTGCAGTGATCTCCTGGGACCCCAGAAGCCCTGGTGTTCCCCTGCTTCCAGACACCAGCACTTTTTATGGCTCTCTCATTGCTGAGCTGCCCTCTAGCCCTCCAGCCCAGCCAAGCCCACAGGCCCCAGCTGCCAGGCGCCTCCCGCCCCAGCTGGCCCAGACCTCCAATCCTTGGCCCAGCTCAGACAGCCTCTGCAGCCGCAGGGGACTCTCTTCACCACGTTTGTCTCTGGCTGCCACAGAGGCTTGGAAGACCAAAAAGAAGCAGGGTAAGATAGGAAGGTGTTGGTGGTGGGAGGGACCAGGAGTGGAAATCGGGTAGGAACTGCTGGCCTTGAAGCCAGGTGTTGGTTGTGGCAGCAGACACAGGCCTCTTTCCCTTTCCCCAGAGCACTCAGCTGGGAGATGGTCCCCTCAGCTTCTCTTTATAATAGTGAGCACTGTACCTGCAGTCAGTTCAACCCAGTCAACACTTAGTGAGCACCACTGAATGCCATTTGTTTGTGATAAAACAGATACCTGGCACAACCCTTTCCCGCTAGGTGTTCCTAGCCTGTCTGATGAAGGAATTGACCAGCAAACAAGTAATTCTAGAGCCTGGAAGAATGTGGCCAGTGCTAGCAGGAAGCCTCAGGCTTGATGAACTCATCTATGCACTGCATTCAGGTCTGCTTGGCACCAACTCCCAACTTGCTGCTCAGAGAGGAATGGATATAGTCTGCCCTTGGTATCCACGGGTTCCACATTCATGGACTCATCCATCCATGAATTCAAAATACTCAAGAAAAATATTGTATCTGTACCAAACATGTACAGACTTTTATTTTTGTCATTTGTCTCTAAATGATATAGTATAAAACTATTTACATAGCATTTACATTATTTTAGGTTTGATAAGTAATCTAAAGATGATTTAAAGTATGCAGAGTATGCAGAGGGATTGCTTAGGTTGTATGAAAACACCATGCCATTTTATGCAAGGGACTTTAAGCATCCTTGGATTTTCATACATATAGGGGTCCTGGAACCAATCTCCCATAATACTGAGGGACAACTGCATTTCCTTCCTGGACAGATTTCTTTTCTAACTTCCAGCTGCCTTTCTTTGACTCTCCAGAGAGAAATAATTACAGTCTCCAATTCTTAAGCAATTTCTATATGCTAGGTACTCTATTTATATTTGTTATTCCACTTAGTCCTCACAATAGATTGGGTAGGAATTACTTCTCTAACTTCTAGAGATAAGGAAGGAAAGTCAGAATGACTTAGAAACTTGTTCAAAATTCCACAAGTAATATGCAGAGCTCAGCCTTGAAGCCAGAATGATCTACCTCTAAAGGCTACTCTGAATGTCTCTGGAGCTCCCTTCTGAAATTCTCTAATGTTTCTGTCTTGCAGAACACTGGCCTGCACTCCACCTGCTGTCTTTATGAGTCTTTTGTGCTGATTAGAAACACTTAGCAAATGTTCTACCAATTCCTTTTTTTAAAAAGTGGGTATGATCCAACATTTATTAAAATGAAGATGGATTAAGAATAATTAAGAGGGCTTGGGTTGTAGCTCAGTGTTAGAGCACTTGCCTAGCATGTGTGAGGCACTGTGTTTGATTCTTGGCACTGCATATAAACCAATAAATAAAAATAAAGGTCCATCTACAACTAAGAAATATTTTTAAAAGAATAATTAAGAGCTTATTTAATATTGATAATTTATTATTCTAAGTATTAGAAAAGCTGGAATTCTTACCACCTTTGCCTCAGAGCTATTGCATTATAAATCCTGGGTAAATGAAATACCACCCAAAAAGGAATAAGTCTCACTTAGGGGGCTTAGGAAGATGTAGCTATAGTTCAGTGGTAAATAAAATAAATAAAACACACACACATATACACACACAAACCTTCAAACCCCCCTCAAAAAAAAACAACTATTCTTTCTGTGGAGAACTGCATTGACTTACATGGGATGTTTAGCCCTCTCAAAGCATTAATACTATGAGAATAGAGCGGTTTTCTATAGCCAATTCTTTCTTTTTGTTCTTTTTATTTTTTTAATGTTAGGGGTCAAACCCAGGGTCTTCACATGCTAAGCATATACTCTACCAATGAACTATATCCCCAGCCCTTACAGTCAATTCTTAAGATGTTTCCAATTCTGCAATGAGGCTTCCTAACCTGCAGTTCAGGTCCTTACTTCACCCTGTTTCTCCTTACCAGACCCATCTCCCCACTGCCCCAGGATGGTTCAAGTCTCCTCTTGGCAGGTAGACACCTGATATTCCACATCTGGCTCCTGGGACCTCAGCAGCAACAACAAGATAATGTTGTAACCTTGTCCAAAGCCATGGAATTGAGTCTCCTACTGTCATCTACTCCAAGAAACAGTTTCCTCCTCTTCTGAAGCTGGCATTCTCTTAGTCCTCCTGCTCCCCTAGACCTGCTTGTTCTTTTTTCTTGTTATCTGACCTTAGCTTGGTTTTCTCTCCACTGTGGCTATTCTTACAATTGCACTTTCCTGTCTCTTATTCATTATATCAGGTCCTTAGTTATGTTTATCTTACCAGATATATGCACAAAAGACCCTCATTCATTTTTTTATATTTATTTTTTATTTATAGGTGGACACTCATATCTTTATTTGTATGTGTGCCTCACACATGCTAGGTGAATGCTCTGCCTCTAAGCCGTAAGCCCAGCCCCCCTTGTTCATTCTTTATTCCATTCAAAAAAATATTTATTGCAACTCAGGTATGTCCAATGAGGTTCAATTTTTCACCTTGCTAACATTTTTTTGTATAATTTATTCAAATAGCATTGAAACTGAAATGGGAAGGCTTTTTGTTGCCAGGATCCCTTGGAGAAAATAAAATGAGCTGGGATAAATATGGCCTTTTCCAGGACTGGCTTTCCCCTTCTGTTTCCACTCAAACAAATAACTGATAAGTTTACATTTCTTGAGCTCAGTCATGAAGCCAAGCATTGGACAAGACAAAGCTGATGGGCTGAAATGAATAACAAGGCTAAAGATAGAGTCTGTGGTTGGGGTCTGAAAGGCCCACTCTGGCTTGACCCCCAGCTACTGGCTCTTTCCTTTGCAGAGTTGCACCAAGCCAACAGTTCTCCACTGCTCCGGGGTAGCTGTTCCACGGAGCTCTGGGCCCGGGAATTGGGAAATAGAGGTTCCAAGAATCTTTCTCAAAACACAGGTGAGAAGGGGATTCTGAGAAGGAAGTGAAAGGGTGAGACGGGCTATAGACGCCCACCATTCCAGTCCCTTCTGCCTGGCTTCTCCTTCTGTCCCTGAAGGAGGCTGAGTGGTTGGGCTAGGAGGCAGGAGCTGAGGGGCTGTTCAGGCAGGCAGACTAGGATCTGGGGCCAAATGAGATTCTGCCAGTCTCAGCACCAGGCTCTTGTTTCCCAGGAGCTGTGCCCCGAGCTCTGGTGGCCTGGCGGGCCCTGGGACCACAACTTCTCAGGAATTCAAATGATCTGATGACTCGCCCTCTCCCTCCAACTCCCCTCTCTCCTCGTGGAACCCCGACTCAGAGTCAGCAGACCCAGTAAGAGGGCATGGGGTCAGGAAGCAGGGCTGGGAGACTACGTGGATGAGGAATGGCACTAACCATCCTGCCATCCCTCCCTCACCCCAACCAGGCACTTGGTGGAGCCCCAAGCTCCCTCTGCCCTGCTGCCAGCAGCCCCCCTCTCCATCCATACTCCCTCCAGGCCCCCCAGCCCCCAGGCCTCTTCCCTCTCTGGTCCCAGTCCAGCTTCCAGTCGCCTGTCCAGCTCTTCATTGTCATCACTGGGGGAGGATCAGGACAGTGTACTGACCCCTGAGGAGGTGGCCCTTTGCCTGGAACTCAGTGAGGGTGAGGAGACGCCCCGGTGAGTAACCAAAGAACTTCAGTGAGAATCTGGCTAGACTGGAACATTTCTGCCGCTACCCTAACCATTGTATTATCTCCCATTTTGCCTTTTTCTAGGAACAGCGTCTCTCCAATGCCAAGGGCTCCTTCACCCCCCTCAACCTATGGATACATCAGCATCCCGACGGCCTCAGGGCTAGCAGACATGGGCAGGGCTGGGGTAGGAGTGGAGTCTGAGGCAGGGGGCTTGTTGTGCCCACCTCGGCCCTGCCCCACTCCCACCCCCAGTGAGGGCTCTCTGGTCAATGGTTGGGGCTCAGCCTCTGAGGATAATGCCCCCAGTGCCAGAGCCAGCCTTGTCAGCTCCTCTGACGGCTCCTTCCTCGCTGATGCCCACTTTGCCCGTGCGCTGGCAGTAGCTGTGGATAGCTTTGGTTTTGGTCTGGAGCCCAGAGAGACAGACTGCGTCTTCACTGGTACATGGGACCACCCCATCTTACTCCTCATCCCCACTACGTTAGACCCCATCCCCAACCAAGAGACAAGGCTTCTCAATGGTCCTCATCTCTTTGTCATCCTTTTTCCTCTGGCCTTTTATCCATACTCTCCCTACACTTGCCATTCCCAGGGCTTTCTCTTCCCTCCATTATGGGCACTTTGTCTTGGATTATCCTTGCTCTCTCATTTGCCACAGGTTTAGTTATTTTTCTTGGGGGCAAAGTATAGATTTAGGATTAGTAAGATGGGCTTCGAAGACCTGATAGGGTGTATGGGGAAGAAACACCAAGGGCCAGCAAGCCCTGAGCTGCCTTCTGCTGACATATAAATAATGGAGCCACTCTGCTAGACATGTTGGAGCTGAGCCCAGTTGCTCCTCAACCTCTACTGCGGCCAGGGAAAGAGGAAGGGTGTGGAAACACACAGGAGTGAGAAGACATGTGGAACACAGAGGGAGAGAAAACAAAAGAGACTGTGGACTAGCCTTCCCATTAGGCCCTGGGGATATAGCCACTGGGACCAGTGGGTTGAGTTGGGGCTAGATTATGTTTAGGACTGGATGTGTACCCTAATCTAGCTGGTCCTAAGTTTTCTGTCCTAAACTGGTCCCTAAGGGCTAAAGGCTAGTCCCCCACTGATGCCTACCCTCTGTGACAGATGCTTCATCACCGCCCTCCCCACGGGATGACCTCTTCCTGACCTCCACCCTCTCCCTGCCCCTGTGGGAGTGGAGGCCCGACTGGCTGGAGGATGAGGAGATCAACCATGCCCGACGGCTGGGAAGGGGGCTGCCTCCCTGGCCCCCTGACTCTAGGATCTCTTGCCAGCGAAGTCAACTGAGCTGTCCTGTTCCCAAGGATGGCAGTGAGTGTCTGTCTTCTAGCTAATGTAGTGATCTTAACCTGAAGAGTCCTGGGGAGGAGTCAAGAGGCAGCCTGGGGTCCAGCAGGAAAGATAGAAGCAGGGGGGTAACTCTGCTTTCCTTCAATTGCTTCTACAGATTCCTCCTGAACCATGACCTTGAGATTGCCAGAAGAGCATCGGGACCATCTCTCCTGTCTACCCACAAGGTCTGGTGTATGGCCTGGGGGTCTTGGCCTATGCTTCTTGCAGTGGGAGTCCACCTTCTTCAGCCTCCAGGAGATTCCACAAATGAAAGCAGAACCGGAGCCCTCAGGAAGCAAAATGTCATCTCTACCTTCAGGACTCTCTCTTTTGTTCCAACCACTCCCACAATCAAAGCCTGTGGCCTAAGGAACAGCCCTGTCTCCTGCTAGCTCCATGAGAAATGGGGGAGCCAGTAATGTCTCCATGGAGAAAAGCAGCAGCTAATGGGAGAGGGCTTTAGAGGAAGGCACTTGTAGTCTCCCTTTAGTCCTCCCTGGGACCTCTTCTAGAAACCAGCTCAACCCTCTCCCCAGCCACACTGTGTAAAGAAAATAAAGAGCAATGTATGTAGGCAACAAGACCCTACCAAGTGCCAAGGCCAAGGGTTCGAGCTAGATCTAGGGAGGAAGCTAAAGGAAAGAAGGTGTAAGAATGTAGGACAAAAGCATCCTTCCCATCCTGTTGTCACTTTGAGTTTAAGGAACTAGACATGATAAAACTGTAAAGACTTGAGTTCTGTGAAATCATTTCCTGGGGGCATTATTTGGGGAGGGCACTTGGAGAGATGGCAAGAGTTCCCCCTGGGTGAAAAAGAGTGGAGCACTCATGGACACTCACAGAGTGTCCCTCATCTCTGTCCTGCAATTGAAGGGAGAGTGAGGTACATCCACCAGATTTTTAAGCAAAATCCAGGAAAGGGGTGGGCAGGTAAGTTTCAAGCTCTGCTGATCCTGCAACTTATCTTGAAAAGACAATTCCTGCTTTCTACAGTTCCAGCCCTCCTCTCCAAAGACCAGTCCCAGATGGTTCCTTAAAAATAGACAAAGTAGCTATATTCCATAAAAGGTAGAACCACCTGTGATGGTTGGCTACTGAACACTCTTTAGACAAAACAGCAGAACAAAGAAATGGATGTGGGTGCAGGACTTCCAGCGCCCAAGCCACTGAAAGCTGCTGGAGAGCAGGCTGACCTGAGTCTTCCTTACAGGGTGGGAAATGTCAGGGGCAGAATCTACAAGTTGCAGGGCATGAACAGAACCACAGGAAGAGATCTTTGGAGGGCCAATACAGAAGCAGGCTCTATAGGGATGTACTAAAAAGGCATTTTCTTCTTGCCTGGGGGTTCTCCCATAAGCTTCTCTTTTCTTTGGGTTTTTAAAACTTGTTTTTTGTTGTGAAGAGCAAGTTCCCTTGCAGAAGATGTGGAAGACAGACCCAAGGGGAAGGCAGTAGAAGCCTGACTCAATCCTCTGAAGGTGGAACAACTATCCTCATTAGCTATTTGGAAAGTCTCTGTGGTTGTAATTGGGTAATGGTGGGCTTTGGCTCTTTCAGGAAGCAGGACAGGTCACTTAGCACCTATCCTCATCTAGTGCTTCTGCAGACATTCAAAAGGATGCTGAAACTACCAGTGTAAACTGATCTTCAGAGCCTTACAACTCCCTTCTGCCCCTACATACTGCATAAAATAAACAGAGCCCAGGGCTTGGAACAGACCCCTTTTATTGTCTTTTATACAAGTAGTTCTCAGAAAAAGATGGAAAGGGAAGTCCTGGCTTTCTGGCTTCCGAGCCAATTGAAGCCATTGAGGTCAATGGGCTTCAGTGAGCCCCAAGCATCATTGCTGGGAGGGAAGAGGGCTCCATCCCTGCTCCTTTTGGCTCACAGCTTTGTTTACCATAAGAGGATGTTACACCCCCTGCCCCATGGAACTCTCAATATTCTCACTGCCTCATCAAAGGTCATCTTGGTTCCTAGAGAGTGAATGAGAGAGAAAGTAAGAGAGACTGTTTTGTTAAGCCCTGGGTTAGGGCAAACAGGCCACAGTAATGGATCAGCCTTTCTCTTAGTCCAGTTCCACGGGGTACCCATAGACTCTTATGTGTCATCTTGCTCTCACCCCTTATCATTTCTTCTAGGGGACTCCTCCCTTCTCCCTCACTCATTCCCCTCCTTTTCAATCTCCTCTGCAAGCCCTAAAATCTTCCTATTTTCAGTCACTCCCTAGCCCACCCTCACTAGCCCTGTGCATCATTTCTATGTGATCTCTGGCCCCCACCTCTCGACGTTTCTGTCTTGGCCTTTGGCTCTGGCTGTGGCTCCGGCTCCGGCTCCTGCTCCGTCCAGGACCCCGGGAGCCCCGAGAGCTGCCAGAGCCCCTGGAAGAGTTGCTGCCAGCAGTGGAACAGTTGCTGGTGGCCTGGCCATGGGACAAGAAGCTCGGTCTGCCATATGGGAGCCAGGCCTCTTCTGCAGCACAACAGAGAAGGGCAGCTGGGCACAGGCAGGCAATAGAACATTGCCACTCACCCACTTGCCACCCACTACTATCCCAGCTCTGAGATGATAAAGGAGTAGGTCCAGGTACCATCATGCAAGAGGCTGAGAAGAAAAAGAGCACGCAGTACATGGCCTTAACATAATAGGGGCTCAGAAACATGGATAACTCCCAAGCAGAGATAGCCTCAGGGAAGAAAGAACACCTAGACCCCACTCTTCTCTTGTTCTGGGCTTCAGTCCAGGGAACGGATTTATCTCAGGGACCTCAGGGGATTTTGCTTAGCGAGAGACAAGAGAGTCTTTGACATTGACCAGATACACAAACCCTCCTACCAGCTTCCAGTCCCCTCCCTGCTGCCCTGGCCCTCCTTACCATCTGGATGGGGTCCCCGCTGGGCCCCCACAGGCACCACCTGCACCACTCTCCTCTCCCCACTGTGCTCTCGCTCCAAGGAGGACATGCTGCCTGCTGCTCTCAGCCCTAAGGCCCAGCTTACCTCCTCTTCTGGTGGTGGCAGGGGTGGTGGGGGCAAGTCTGGAGAAGAGACCTGTTTTCAGCAGAGTCTCCTGCCTTACTGACACTAATCTTTCTCCCACCTCCATTCCCTGACACCAGGAGGCTGCAAATGAATGGCCCAATATTTGGTATCACCTGCTCCAGTCCCTAGAACCCACCCTTAATTTCCTGCCCATAATCCCTACTGACTGTCACCATCTCCGAGGTGTAGGATCCTCTCACCCCCAGGGCTGTGTTCCCTCTTATAATGAAGAGCCTTGGATTTCTTCCGGATTCGGGCACCTGGTCCTTGAAGTGGAGGAGTCATCTCTCCAGGTACCTGCCGGGTTCTCCCTATAGCATTAGGAGATTCAAGGAAGACAGGTAAAGTAAGGAAATCAGGAGAGGAACTTGAAGCAAGGGGAAGTAACAGAGAGGTGGGGGTAAGTTGAGGGTCTACAAACTCACCTGGGGCACTGCTGATTGTACTGGGGACAGGGCTGGGGCCGAGATGGTGGGAGGATGTGAGGCCAGCATTCAGGCCAGCAGGCTTCCCTTCATAGCTACTCAGAGTGGGCTGGGACACACTGAGAGGGGAATTTGGCCCAAGGGGCACCCTCCTGCAATGAAATAAGGTCTCAACATTTGCTCACTCCACAAAAATTAGGTGTCTACTATGTGCCAAGACTGTACTGGACACTCAGCCTAAATCAGATGGAATAGGACACAGCCCATCCCCAGAAGACTTCCCAAGCTTGGGAAGCATGAGGAAGACCATGTTTGAAATGCTACAGGAAGCTTGCAGAGTCTCTCCAATGAAGAGATAGTCAGAAGGGAGTGAGAGACTTTTGTTAACCTCCATGTTCCTCCCCAAATCACACTTCCACCCTGACACGGCCCTGAGACCTCTGTACCCCAGATTCATCTATCCATCTACCCCAACAACCACTGAATAGATATGCACTGAAGGCTTGTAATATGCAAAGCACTGTAAACCTCCCTACCTGGGCATCTGATGGAGATGGGGAAGATCACTAGGGGGATGGGGAGGGTCAGGAGGTGAGGGGGTAAGAGTGGCTGTGGACTGCTGTCCATAGGAGGGAGTGGGAGAGGGGTTTTCCCCTTGGGGTGGAGCAACCAGGCACCCTCCACTGGAGCTGGGCTCAATCGGGTGGCTTCTCTCAGGCATTGGTGGGCACCATTCTTCTGACTCTGAGCTGAGGGCAAAGAGGCAGGAGAGAAGGAAAGGACCAGGCAGCTTCTATACCTTCCCTTTGGCCTTCCTTTTGCCCTCTCCCTTCCTCTACCAGCATCTCTGCCCCCCTGCCCCAGGGGGCTCTGGGCAGATCCACAGTAGGAGGGGCACCTGAAGTAGGCAGCATCCTTACCTGCCCTCCAGATCCTCCTCAGGCCCCCCTGGACAGCTCAGTTCACAGGAAGGGGGAGGTGGTGGCAAGGCTTCTGGCCAGTTCAGAGAGGGCATCTGCACAGGTTTCCCCAGAAGCTTCACTTTGCCTCCCCTGGCTCCTGAGAAGAGTAGATGGAGACACATCAAGAATGGCAGAACAATATGGAAAGCAGTATGGAGAATCCTTGGAAAACTGGGAATGAAACCTCCTTTTGACCCTGCTATCCCACTCCTCAGTCTATACCCAAAGGACTTAAAAACAGCATACTACAGGGACACAGCCACATCAATGTTTATAGCAGCACAATTCACAATAGCTAAACTGTGGAACCAACCTAGATGCCCTTCAGTAGATGAATGGATAAAAAAATGTGGCATTTATACACAATGGAATATTATTCAGCATTAAAAGAAAATAAAATCATGGTATTTGTAGGTAAATGGATGGAATTGGAGAAGATAATCCTAAGTGTAGTTAGCCAAGCCCCAAAAACCAACTGCCAAATGTTTTCTCTGATTTAAGGATTCTGACTCAATGTGGTGGTGATGGGGCATGGGAGGATTAGATGAACTCTAAATAGGGCAAAGGGGAGGGAGCGGAAGGGAGAGGGCATGGAGATAGGAAAGATGGTGGAATGAGATGGACATCATTACCCTAAGTACGTGTATAAAGACACGAATGGTGTGACTCTACTTTGTGTACAAACAGATAAGAAAAATTGTGCTCTGTATGTCTAATATGAGTTATAATGCATTCTGCTGTCATAAATAACAAATTAAAATAAATTTTAAAAAAAGAATGGCAGGAAAGGGCCAAAGATGAGACATATCAGAAAGCAGTATCAGCCTAAGCGTCAGAGGGTTAGGGTGGAGGATGCTCTGGACAGGGCTAATGTGGGGGTATTAGGAATTGGGGTCATACCACTGTCCCCCTGGCTCCATTCTGGAGGAGCATACTGGCTCCAGGTGCCTGGGTCCCCTGATGGTTGTTGGGGGAATCCCCCATGGAAGGTCTGCAGCTCTTCCCCTGCAGGGTCAATGGTGCTGTAGACAGGACCCTCACCAGGGGCAGCAGTGCCCCGGGCAGTCTGAGCCAAATATAGGGAGATTCCTGCTTCTGAGAAGGAAAAAGAGGGAAGCCCAGTGGAGGAGGCAGGAGGCAGAGACAGAAAATAGAGGACAACAGGAAAAAGGAGGGCAAAAGGAGAACACACCAAATCAACTCCTCCCACCTCAAAACTTACATGTGAAACCAAAGTGAAGATCAGGTCTGAAAGACACTCTTCCCCAGCATACCCCACTCAGCCCCAGGACTGACCAACCTCAGGAAGACTGGGCCTCCACAGCTCCCTTCAGTTTGCCCGAGTAGATTAAGAGAAGAAGGCAAGGCTGGGTGTGCCCCTGAGGGAATTAGAACTCCTCACCATTATAGTATCTGTCTTCTGGGTCAGGATTGCTGGGACAGCAGCTTCCCCTAGGTTCCTGGGCTGAAGGGCTTCGAGAAGGGTGGGGCCACGAGTCTGCCAGCCATGGGTAGGGGGCAGGGCCAAGGCCTATGGGTGGCCTGAGGGGGAGAGGTAAATGTTGGGGACAGAGACCATAAAGAGGCCATTAAAGGTAAGGCAGGTGGCAGTATTTGAGAGTCACAGATAGTAATGGTGTGGATGGGGGTGGGAGTTGGGAGATGCTCAGTATAGGGAGGCCTGAGAGAAAGGAGTGGGCCCTCAGTGAAAGAGATTATCCTTAACAGACAGGTTAAGAGAATTACCTGGAACTGGCTCCAGAGAGTCCCTCTGAGTGTGGGAAGGACACTGGAGAAGATGAGGGGGAGAACCAGTGAGAGGAGAACCAGTACTGGGGGTCTGAACCTCACTAGGGCAGAGAAGGCTTACCTGCGGGTGTGTAGGCAAAGGAGGCTTCCAAAAAGGAACCCAAGGGAGAAAGAAGAGGGAAATGAGGCGAGGGATCAGACACACCCATATGCTTGTTCACTCCTTGACCCTGGTCCCAATTCTAACATTCAAGCTGCACACTGGACCAATTCATCAGAATTTCTGGGGTTGGGACTCAGGTCTCAGAATTTTTCTAAAGTTCCCTAAGTTACTCTTTTATGTAGCAAGATCAGAAACCACTGACCTCAGACTTCAGCATATCTGCAGAGACGCCCCTTACTGGGGAGTAGCAGAACTCAGGTCGCCTCATTTCAGTAGACCCTTCTTGCCATCCAGACCTCTCCTCAGACCTTTACCTCCTGGGATCTTGACCACACCCCCTCCATCCAGGGCCTGCCCCCTCCCCTGTCACGAAGTAGGCTTTGCTACTTACTGAGCTGCATAGTCCGCCCTCTTGTCTTAGTGGCAAACCTTACCCCTTCCGCAAATCCAGGTCCTGTACCCTCATAGCCCACCCTTTCCCCCCAAAATCTCCTAGCCTGGCAGCTCCTCGTGCCACGGTGTCTACTCCGAGTGGCTGAACTCTCGCTGCGACCCCTCCCTCCTCGCCCTGCCCGGCTCGCAGAGAGGCTGTCCCCCGCCCCCGGCCCATCGGCCCCTCCTGGTTTCCTCCAGGCTCTGTCCACGCCGAGGCCCGAGCACGTCCCCCTGCCCCTGCTCTCACCGGTGTAGTGGCTGAGCTCTTTGCGCTGCTTCCGGCGCCGGTAGAGGGCGGCGCAGAGCCCGAGCAGCAGCGCCCCGCAGGCCGCACCACTGCCTGCAAGGAAGGCAGGCTCCCGCAGCACCCTCGCCAGCCGCTCCGCCAGCCCCGGGCCCACCTCGAGCCCAGGCTCCACTCCCGGCGGGGACGCTGTGGGGGTTAGGGAGGTGAGAGAAGTAGGAGCCCGAAACCCAGGAGCTGGGGAGGGGCCGTCCCTGACCCCACAGGCACTCTACCCCCAGAAACCCAACAAAGTTTCCCAGCCCAGCTCTCCCACGCCCACCTCCGGACTCACGTAGCTGCACTAGCACCGGGGCACTGGTCACGCCCACGCCAGCGCTGGTGGCCGCCGCGACCAGGGTATGGTAGAGCAGACCCGGCAGGAGTCCCCGCAGCATCACGGAGCGTGCCCAGCCCGCCACAGACCGGTTGAGGTGGAAACGGCTATCATTGCCCAGGCACCAGATCTAGAGAGAACAGACTTGTTTTAGGGAATCAGGAGACAACACTATGAAACCTCTCTCCTCTCCCCCAACCTCATCACAGCCCCGAAGTCAGCCCTATGTTCCCTCCACATTAAAACTAGCCTAGATTCTCCCTCTCCCGTCTCTCCCCAACCCCAGTTCCTTCTCAAATCCTGTACCTGGTATTCAGTGATGACCCCATTTTGTTGAGAGGGCAGTGGAGGCTCCCAGGACACAGTGATACTGCTGTTGCCATCACCCCCCAAGGCTACTGCCACTCCCTGGGGGGGACCACTGGGGGCTGGACCAGGGTGGAGCATGGTGAGAAAGACACAGACAGTCATTGCAAGTTGCCCCAATCTTCCCTTTCCTGTTCTTATATCTTAGAGAACTGAGAGGCACCTCTCCTTTCCACCTACTCACCTTGCCCTGTAAACTTCCACCCTACACACTTCCTCTCCCCTCTTGTCCATCATCAGTTCTGTGGCCCTACTTACCCTCCTCAGGAATGTTCCTGGTCACAAAGGGGCTTTCAGCCCCCAGCCCCTCCTGGCCTTGGGCTTGCACCTTAATCTGGATTTGGGTCCCTGGTGGGAGTCCTCTTAGCACAGTACTTTGCTGGCTTGGGGTCTGTAGATCCAGCACTGTCCAGCTTCCCCCATTAGGGCCTACTGCCCTCCAGGATACCCGGAAACCTTGCACCAGCTGAACCGGGCCATCCACCTATAGAAGACAGAACAAGGTGTACCAGAGCTGGAGGCAGGGGCCACACAGGTCCTCCAGACCAAGCCCCTCCCCTACTCATGCCACTTTCCCCATCCACTCACCTTCCACTCTCCCATATTCATTCTTGGATGCCCTCATGGCCTCCATTAACACCCCCACCCTTAACCTCATTCCTGGGCTATACTCACAGTCCAGGACACCTGCAGAGTCCGGGGCCCCAGGACTATGGGCTCCTGCATTCGCACAGCCACTTCAGCCATTCCCCGCTGGCCTCTCCATGGATCCTCCACTGGCCTGGTTGGTTGACTGTCTGTTAACCAAACAGCCCACTTAGTTGGGGCCACAGGGACAGGAAGACAAGACTGAGGGTGTGCTTGTATCCTGCCTCTATCCTGCCCCACAGACTGTACCACTTAGTACACCAGAGCACACCCAGAGTCAGAGCAGGCAGGTCAGGGCAATAGTTTGCAGAAGTGGGCCCAGTGTCTAGCTCAGTGTTCTTCCTGCATGACCACATATGTATCCTATAAAAGCTTTAAAGTTCCTCATCTCAAACATTTCAAGATGCCTTCTAGTCTTAACAACTGATTGGGTAAAAAGGCTCAGAAGTAAGGACTATTGAATGAATACCCACTCCTTCTTCCCTCCCTCCTCTCTCTCTCTCTTTTATATTTTATAAGTAGAACTTAACCTCTGAATCACATCCCCAGCCCTTTTTTATATTTTATTTAGAGACAGGGTCTCTCTGAGTTGCTTAGGCTTTGCTAAGTTGCTAAGGCTGGCTTCAAAATTGTGATCCTTCTGCCTCAGTCTCCCAAGCTGCTGGGATTATAGGTATGTGCCACTGCATCTGTCCCTCCCTCCTCTCTTGTCCCCTCTATGAGAGGGAAACATGACCTCCTATTCCAGGCTGAGCCACCAGAATAGACCTGACATAGCAGGAAAGAACCCTGAGCTGCCATGGTGCCATGGTTTTGGCAGAGAATGCTCCGTAGTGTTACATGTCATGCTCAGGAGCCCAGGCATTCTGATCTTACCCTGGGTGCGGACAGGCTCAGAGACAGGGCTGGGTTCACTGAGGCCCCAGGTTCCCACAGCTCGAACCAGGAACAGATAGATGGTATTGGGCTGCAGACCGCTGACTGTATGTGTCTCCAGCTGCACACCATCTGCCACTGTCCGCCATGTGTTGCCAGCTGTTTGGCTATACCAGGAATAAGGTGACAGTGTTTTCTAAGTCAGGAACCCCCAACCTGTCTACTCCATCTCATTCATTCTCTAAGGAATCCTGCTGCCTCCTTACCTTGTGAGAAGGGACTGGATAATCCCTCCTCATAACAGCAGACCCTAAGGACATAGGGGTTTGCTCTCCAGGTTTGCATTCAAAACTTTCTCCATACCTGAAGGCCTCTATCACATAAGAGGTGACTGTAGCCCCGGCCTGTGGATTGGGCTTCCAGGTCAGGGTAATGCTGTTCTTGGTGATCTCAGTGACCACTGGCTGAGAGGGAGGGCCCGGCAGGGTACTCAGTTCTGTAGGAGGATCTGGTGATGCTCCCCAATCTTCTGCAGTGGTAGATAATCATTAAGTAGAAGGATGGAAAAAGTATGACCCCAATGTAACCTGCCTTCTTCCCAGAAGAACTGTGGGACTGCAACAGTGGTGGTGGCCATAGGGTAGCATAGTGTACTAACCCCTACTCACATCTGCCTCCCATTTGCACCACTTCTGTCTTCCTCATCACTACCAGCATGGCCATGGCATTTGGAAGATAAAAATTAGTCCTGGGATTTGGGGAGGTATTGACTACCTTGAAGCAGGTTTGGAGAAGGGTGCTGGCAAATCAAGGGCATGAAGAACAAACTCACCCCGCTTCCTAAGCCAGCCACTCCATATGGCCTCTCCTATGGAATTCTTGGCCACACAGCTGTAGAAACCCATGTCCATCTCCTGCAGGAGAGGGCAGAGCACTGGTACACTGGTAGTGGAGCAGAGTAAGATGAGGGGGTGAAGGCAGGTAACAGAAGGATGAAAAATATGCCAGATACTTTATAAGGTCTGAGAGAGTAGAGGGGTAAAAATGTGATCAGAGGCCCAATGGGTACTTTCCAGAGTTGGGAATGTGAACCAGATAGCCATTCTTAGTTACAAAGAGCCCCAGGGGTGGCACTCACCTGCATACTGGTGATGTACAGGGTGCCATTGGCCATTAGGTTGAACTGGTGGTCATCCCCCTGCAGCCACTGTCCATCCTTCTTCCACTGGACATTGGGCTGAGGGTTCCCAGTCACTCTGCATGGCAGCCACACAGAGGAACCAAGGATTAGTGTCTGATTGGCTGGTCCCTGGAGGATGATGGGAGGCAGCCCATCCAAGGAGGCTAAGAGGAAGAAATCAGGCATCTTAGGAGAGGAGTCTAGGGTCAAGCAACCAGCCCTTCCCCAGTCCTCATTCTCTACTTCTTCACCCTCCCTTGCCCCAAACCTCCCACTAATTGGAGGGAACTTTGATAATCATCTGTAATCTCTGCCTGGGATGATTCTGTGCTATTCCAAACTTCAAAGACATGCTTCAGAAATGTGCCCCTCCCAGACATATTGCATAGCATCCAAGAGAAACTCATGTCTTTAGGCCATGTTTTTCCAGACCGTGGGTCTGGGTCCAGCCCTCTCTCCACGGGCAAATACCTCCTTTTATCTCCAACAGGGCCTTGGCTAGGATGCTGCCAGCCACACTGACAGCCTGGCATACATAGTAGCCAGCATCCTCACTCTGCACTTCAGTGATGTTGAGCTGTCCTCTTGGAGAGACTGAGAAGCGCCCTGTAGGCTGAAGTGACTGGCTAGGGAAAAGCAGGACCTGCAACAGAGTAAGGGACCAAGATGTAGAAAAAGCAGGCAGCTGGGCAGGGAGAGTTCCCCAGACTTGTCAATCTCAGAATCCAGAGAATTCTTAAGGTTCTAGTTCACACTCTGCCCTCAACCATTGATGTGACCTCAGGCAAAGCAGTTAGCACTTTTCACAAAAAGGAATTTTACATGAAGGAATTTTACTAGAAGATTTTAAGGACAACTTTATACCCCTGTGACTTACTAGTTGGGAAACTCTGAGAAAACTTAAACTTTTATCTTTCTTTTTATTTCTCTCTCTTTTTTTTTTTTTTTGTACAGGAGATTGAATTCAGGGGCACTCAACCACTGAGCCACATCCCCAGCCCTATTTTGTATTTTACTTAGAGACAGGGTCTCACTGAGATGCTTAGTGCCTTGCCTTTGCTGAGTCTGGCTTTAAACTGGCTATCCTCCTGCCTCAGCCTCCCAAGCTGCTGGGATTACAGGTGTGTGCCACCGCGCCCAAAAAACTTAAGCTTTTCTGAGCCCCATTTTATACAAATTTGATTCTTAGGGGATAGTTAGGAGGATTAAATGAAGTAATAATACGAAAATCTTCTAAAACATTGTGTGATAAATGTTAAATATTTTTCCCTTCTTTCTGGCTCTAACAGTTGACTTTAGATAGATACATGTAAAGTAAGAAGACAGGCTGGGTCTCAGGTTGAGACTCTGACTGACATCTATCCCCATGCCCTTTTACTATCACCACTGTCATTCTGTGAGAATCTTATTAAAATGCATTGGTCACAGGTGCTAGAGAAGATTAAAAATTGTGGCTACAGATTTGGAATACAATAGTAGGTTGCCTGTATTTCTTGTGGAGTAGAGATAATCGGCTTATTTTATTATACTGACCCTGTTTCCTAGTAACAAAATTTCCACCTTCCCTTACAGTGAGTTACTTATGTCCAAATTTCAGTGACAATTCTTTCAGGTTGTGTGATCTGGAATTTGTTTGCTAAGTAGAAAGAGGGTGATTGTTAGCTTCCCATGGTGGAGAGAGCTATAAATAGGCAATGGAAATAGTTTTCTACCCTGAGCAGCTTTAGTTCAATTCTTGATTTTCAGAGCAGTGTGTTAGTTCCAAAACCAAGGCCCCTAGGGACCTGGGAGAGCAGGAATCTAATTGGATTTGCCTCATCCTCAGGACATCTTTGCCCAAAATAGAAAGATTCTCCAAGAAATTATCGTCCAGGACTGTTCCCTACCATCTAAACATATTACCGTTATTAAGTAGTAGTGTTACTAAACATATTACTGTTTTTTTTTAAAGTGTCCAAATGTTCCAGTCACTTTATATTCATTATCTTATTTAATGCTCCCAAATAATTTGCAAGGGTTTCTAGGGGTAAGATACCAAAGATAAAAACAGAAGCCCCAGAGAGAAGTTTGTGGAATGCAGAGACAGGAAGGTCCAGATAAAGAGGTGATGAGCAGAGTTTTGGAAAGGGCCACCTACTTGACTTCCCTCTTTCTGCCAGAAGATGGCAGGTGGGGGGTTTCCTTTGGTCTCACACTGGAAAGCCACATTCTCTCCAGGAGCTGCCATCTGGTCTTGGGGCTGGGTCACCAACTGGGGTGGGACTAGGCAGGGGAGTGAGATAAAGGAAAGGGACTTAGTGGTACTAAGGAGAGTGAAGGAACAGGAGAGAGAAGCCCAAGCCTTGCTTAAATAGAAGCAGACACCCACCTCCCACTCAAGTTTGTTTAAATTTCTCTTTTCTCTCCTTCCAGAAGTCTCAGGCAGCCCACCCACATCTCCTGCTCTTTCTCTCCCATTCTCCTCCACTGCAACCCATCCTCCATCTTCCCTCATATCACCCCAGCTGCAGGCAGTCCCAGGTGGAGCCCTCACCGTGAACACTGAGGGAACCCGATGCTTCCACACGGCCCACGCTGTTCTCCGCCACACAGGTATAAGTTCCCTCATCTTCAGCACTCACTCGCCCAATCCAAAGGCTGTGGTCACTCCGGATCTCATACCTGCTCCACTCCCCACCCCCAGGCTGGGTTGGCCACAGCTACAGACCTCTTCTCTCTCCCCCAGGACAGACACCAAGGTCAGGGTACAAAAAGGTAAGGCAGGACTCAACAGGAATAGAAGCCGATACCCACAAACTAGGATGGGAGTGCTGGATAGGACAGGGGCCACAGTCTCTGGGGAGGAGACTTCCCTGTGCCCTCAAGTGAGAGGATGCCTGCCTTCCAGTTTTCTAGGGTAGGCAGTCTCTTAAGCTGTTTGGGTCTCCTTACAGGCAAAAGGGGGCTTCTCACCTGCCTGTGGGCAGTTCCCCATCCTCCTTGCGCCAGTGTAGATGAGGTGGGGGATCCCCCTGTGCCTCACATAGAAAATTCACAGGGGCATCAACCAGGACCACCTGGTTTACTGGTCTTCGAAGGAATGAGGGACGCTCTAAAGAATGGGAACCAGTGAACAGTCAGGGGGTCTGCCCAGCTACTTACTCTCTAGGTTACCCACTCCCATAATTCCAATACTCCCAGTGCCTACCCAGTACCACAAGTTCAGCTGCCCCACTCTCCCGTTCTCCTGCCATGTTGGATGCCACACACACATACATCCCAGCATCGCTCTTGAGCGTGTATGACATCATCAGCTTCCCTCCACGAATCTGTAGGGTAATAATGGTAACTTTGGTCCTTTATAGCCATCAAAATGTGTGTGTGTAAAGCAAGACCATGAAGAAGACCAATGAAATTGACCCAGGAATCAGATAAAGACTCCCTGGAGTATTATGCTCCCACCTTTCTTATCTCTATTTCATCCTACCCTCCATATCTCTTACTCAATAGCTGACTCTCAGCTTCTGGTTACCTGATGCTCTCATCTCAAATCTCCCACCTCATCAGTACCAAGAAATTATTCCCAGGCCCCAAGACTTTTAGATTTGGGCCTTCCTCCTTTGAGTCTGGTCCCAGACTCACACCCTATGGCCCCACCCCTCACCGTAATCCTTCCCTCCTCCTCTTTAAGCCTTGCACTGTCCTTCTTCCAAGTCACCAAAGGTTCTGGGTGGCCCCTGGGGGGCACACATTCCATTACTGCTGGCTCCCCCACTGCCACCACCACGTTTCCAGGAGACTGCCGGAAATCATCACGGAGGACTAAAGAGAGAGGGGTGTGTAGGGAAAAAGGTCAGGAGAATAAACAGTATGATGGGACCTAACTGGGTGAGGACACAAGGATAGTGTTGTATCGGGGGTAGGTCACAGCAGACCTGAGCTTTTTCCCAGGTTCCGAAATACCAGGCTTGAGTCAGACCCACTTCCTCCTCTGGCCACGATCTCGGTATTAGAGAAAGGAAGATGCTGAGTGGGCTGAGCCCCCTAAGGATGATTCTTCGTGGGTTTGCCCGGTGGCCCCCATCGCCCTCAGGCTCTGGAAGCTATCGACAGAACTCTCACCTGCTACTTCCAAAGAGGCGTTTCTACTAGCTGCAACCCCCAGGTAGTTGCGCGCCACACAAGTGTAGATTCCCTCATCCGGTCGAGCACGGCGCCCATGCACAATTCTCGGGAAGAAGAGGGCGCCGCTGGGCAGCAGCAGGCGGTGCGCGCGCGGATCCTCGCGTGCTGTGGCCACGCGTGCCCCATTCTTGTACCACTCGATGTTGGGTCGCGGCCGGCCCTCAGCGCGACAGGGCAGTGTGGCCGGCTCGCCCCGGGAGACCAATAGATCTGGTGGCTGCTCCACGATGCGCGGCATAGCGTCTTCTGGCTCAATTCTTGTCTCTGGGGGGTGGGGGGAGGCAAAAAAAAAAAAAAAAAAAAACTCAGATCGGGAAGTTGGGAAAGAGACCTTTTGGTTGTTTCATTTCCCAAGATTTCAACTGCTGGAGCAAAGTCCCCTCCCCCCCCCCCCAGCTTTGTAGGCTTCAACATCTCTTTGTTGGCAGACATTATTAGACTGGAAAGCAGATGCCTACAGACAAGCAGATCAGTAAAAGAATCAGGACACAAAGTCCTGGACCTACTTTCTGGATATCCTGAAGACCTGGCCTGCTCTCCTGCTAAATTTATATGGGGAATAACTGGGTCATGACTTGGCATTTATACTACAGATCTAGTCGGCTGTAGTTCACCCACCTGTCCTGGATTCTCCTTGCTTAGTGAATACCCAAGAGTGGTGCACAAGAGCACCACTTGGTTTTTTTGTTCTTGACTTCCATATGATCCATGACCAGTGAAATGGACAATATGGGTTGACCTGGGGTCCTTTATAAAAGGGAAGACATGAATGACAGGGCTGGGGCCTCAAACTAGAAGGAAGGGGTTCTTAACTTGGTTTCTACGACCCTCCAGACAACTTCCTTTAGCCTTGGGAGTTCTGTGACATCACAGGTATAGAACACAGATGATAGCAGAAGTGTCTACAATGATCCTTTTTCTTTTTCTAAGTGGTGTATAGTTTTCAACAGATTATTTTACTAGAGGTAGCCAAGAAAGGCAAAAACGAAAACAAAAACCCCACTGGAAAATAAATTCTACGTCCTTTGTTGCCTCGGATCAGTTAGTAGTCAAGTTCTGTCCATGCCTCTCACTTAGCCTATAGATTTCTGCCTGTTTATCTTCTATGGCACTGTTTGGGATCCAGGAAGGATCCCAGAGCTTGTTAAATACTCATCTCTTAGCCGGGCCTTCAGAAAAGAATTTGTAACCTGTTTGGACCAGTAGGCGCCGCTGCAGTATCGTGTATTCTGACGTCCTTAAATAACCAGGGACTACGTACAAGGCGCATCTGTTCAGCGCCTCCCCTCGCCCCCGCCCATCCCACCCTATTCCAAAATCCTCAGGGACCTCTGGCTTCCAGGCTGGGTGTAGGATTAGATTTCACTTCCTGCCCCTCCTCTTAGAAGTTCTGGGGTAAACAAAGCTGAACTGGTTACAATAGCTGGCTCTATCCTAGGGACAGTTTATTTATAATGTTTGGAGACAAGATCAATTTCTCTCCCACTTGGGGGAAGGAATAATTTTCTCTATCTTCTCCCCTCCAAATGGGAATCTCTGCTGCTCACGGGTACTTCCCCATCCTATCCCAGTCTCAATGTGGCACATTCCATGGTGAACCCAGGAATGGTTAAGCTTCCAAACACTCAGGGCTGGGTTCTCAGATTTTAACACTGAATAGCTATAACAATTTGGGCAAATTATTTAACTTCTCTGAGTCATTATCTGTTGTGTTGAAGTCCCCAACCATAATGGCTGTAAAGCCTTTGGAGGAAGGATCAACACAAGATGATTCTACCATTACTTAAGGGCTCTTCTTGCCCAGCACACCCCACCTTATCATGGTCCCTACAGTCTCTACCTAGATCTGATTCAAGCAGTCCCAAATATTATTTTTTCCTCTTTACATAACCCTCAGGAGTGATGAAAGCAGGCTTAGATCTGTTATTGCCAAGATTTTATTTCATCTTGCTTTTGTGACCATTTGGGGTGCCAGTCACCCTCTATAAATTTGTTTCCTCAGCAGCAAAATGTGATTATTAACATCTTCCCTATATAACTCACTAATTTTTCAAGCTTAAATGTGACCATGTATGATGAAACACTGTAAAAGCCTTACAGGAGTGAAGGCGTGACTCTAGGCCATCGGTGAGAAGGGGCTCTGAGCTTAAACCCCTGGGAATCCTCTGGAGTCAACAGCTTGTAGGATTCCAGCTCATTCCCCATCGTCTTCTCCATTTCTTCCATACATACCACACCCTTCTGCCTGGTTCTTTCTCCATAATTCCTGTAGACACAGCTGCAGGCTTCCTTTCTCTGGAATTTCATCCCTGTCATTCCTTGTCTCTGGAGATGCTTCTACTGCAGCCTAATGAATAGCTAATGGCCATGCTAATGGGGCTCTGGGGCTCCTCCCCAGCACCTGGAGTACTCAACATACAAACACACACATTGCGCAGATTTCCCTTCCTGACACCTTCGAGTCTCCTGCGCAGTGATTGCTACTGAACTATAAAGAGAGCCAACGCCGAGGGATAGGGTAGGGAGTACCTGAAAAGAAACACCCGTAAAAAGGCCCGGAAAGTGGGAATTCCTGACACTGCCAGCAGGAGGCGCAATGAGGCTTCTCCCCAGGCAGCCCGCAGACCACTGTTGCCGCCTCCCCGCTGCGCTTGGGGAGTGAGCGTTGTCCCAGTCATTTATTAATCACCGTAATTAGTGGTAAGGACCTCGCCGCCGGCACTGCCTGCTCGCCGCATCTCTGCCGAGATGGGCCGATTCTGAGTCCTACCACTGAGAGACAAACTTAGTTCTAACTTTCCTTGAAATGATCGCTGTCCTTGTCCCCTGCATAGAAAACGCAGCCAACATTTTGGATTCCTCACTCTGGTCCCGAGTGAATTGTTGGAAAGCTTCGAATCCTGAAGATAGACCTGATATCTGGGTAGGTCACCAAGTGACAGCTAGGCTCAGACCCGCCGGTGACCGCGCCCCCTTCACTGCCCTCTAAGCGGTGGGCCGGGGACTTTCTTAGCTTGGGACTTGCCCATCACCAGCCATGGTTCTCCTCACCTGGAGTGGGCGTGGGAGGCAGTTGGAGAGATGTGAAGTAAAGGATTCAATAGCCACCTCCTCTGAAGCCCTCGACCTCCCTCGTATACCCCCCACTTAGGTGCTCCAAATTAACCTTTGGACCCCACTTTCCCCCCCGAGGCGCTGAAAGACGCGGCTCAGTTCTGGACTTTTGAGACAGGAGCGCCTTAGCCTTCCTCTGCACCTAGTTCTCTCTCCTCACCCCTAGCCCGGTATCCGACGTCCCCACGGGGTAGTCTCACCGTTGAGAGAGGGGGCGCTGGGAGGCAGCGTACTGTGGTTGAGCGCCGCCAGCGAGGAGTTGAAGCCGCCGAAGAGCAGCTCACTGGAGTTAGAGATGTCCCCGGCCAGGGAGTCCGCGAACAAGTTCATCTGCAGCAGCGTTTTAAGCAGGTAGCGCAGCATTGCGCGACCCGACTGGGACCGGGGCTGGGGGCTCGGGGCCCAGCCCCTGGGTCTGAGACCCGTGGGCCGGGAGCCGAAAGCCCCTCCACAGCCTCTGCGCGCTGCCGCAGCCACGGTGCCGCTGTCCTGCAGGCGCGCCTGGGTACGGCCCGTGCCTTCCCGTGCCTTCCTCCTTCGCTGGTCCTTCTCTCCACCCCCCAGTGCCAGAGTCCCCTGGGAGATGGGCGTGCGGAAAGCAGGTGCCACGCCGATCACGGCGTAATTAAGGGCTTAATCCACCTCCCTCCGCACTACCACCCCCACCCGGACCGCCACTAGCAGGGCAGGAAACCAGAGTCGCAGAGCGCACGTTGGAGTCCCCGCCCCGCACCCCTGGCTCAGAGTCCGGTTCTGGACGTGAAGAGTTTCTTTCCTCACTCAAAGCACCCAAGATGAGAAATGAGGCTCTGACTCTGTCCTTCTGCCTAACTTTAAAATAGGAATTTGCCCTCTCCCCTCCTGGACCTCAGGTAAACTGAGGCAAAGTGTAAGCATATGGCGTTTAAGCTTTCAAAGCCCCTTCATTCCCTTTGAAGCCTCGGAGCTTAGTGATGGTAGCTCAGGAGGCTGGGGTGATTTGTGCGGAAGTTGAGAGTGGGAAGAAAATGCCAGCGAAGGTTCACCTTAATTGATTTGCAGCCAGGAGGCCAGGGAATGGGATGATTCACGTTGGCCCCCCTTGGCCCAGACGTCCTAATCCAGGAGTTCCAGCGAGATAGTCAGAACACGAATTAAACTGAAGGGAGGGACACAGGGAAACCCAAGCAACTCGCATTTATTTGCATAGTCTATTACTCTGCTTTGACATGTTTTTATTAAATTGCTTTACATTTTTTGAGGAGTCTGAAAGGGCACCAAGGAGTCTAGGACAAAGACAAAGAGCAATATTGTTTCTGTAAAAGCAAGTGCAAGAGAAGAGAAAAGACGGATGCAAAATTCGTGTAAATCTGTTCGAACCTGATATGGGTCATTCTTGGGTGGTGAGGGGACATAAGCCCCCCCCCCATAATCTCAGCCTACTTCTGAATTCTCTATAGCTTTTTTTTCTATAACCCAAAGATCTTCCAGTCCCCCTCACCCTCTCAAACAAATGCTCACACTTTTCCTAGAGTGGAAATGGTCTTGAAGTATTGGGGAAGAGAGAGATCAGGACGACTTTCCATCTGAGGTAGGATACTGCTGATGAGTGAGCGGCAGCGTTCTGGCTCCGACATCAGGCTGTAATGGTGAGACAACCGTGTGCTGCCTGGAAGGAGCTGTTGAACAGGTCGAGATCAGAGGGATATGTGCAATCGTACACCCCTGGGTAAACAGTCAAGGAGGGCATGCAAGTGAGGTGAGACCTTGTTAAGGGGTGAGGGGCTTGCCCTAAGACTCCTCCTCAGTCCACACCCCTCCTGGTAGAACTTCCAACTAATGTATGTTTAGGTATCTTCCTACTCTTTGGCTGCAGCTCTGGGCAGGATTTAGCAAGACCCAATCATAAACCAGGTATTGGGGAGGCAACTCTTGACAGACAGATGTGGAAGAGAAGCCTTGGGAGCTGTTCTTTCAGCACCTCTTCTGCCTGTGCTGAACTTGGGTCCGATGCCTCACGGAAGACTCAATCAGAGCAAACCTTAAGGCTGAGACAGGTGTAGATGGAAGAAGGGCTAATGACCCATTCTCTCCAAGAAAAAGATAGTGTTATACGTCTGTCCCGTGCTGTAAGGTCTTGAACCAGGGCCAGGAGGCATTCAGATAGGAGAGATGGTAAGAGGTATACTACATTTCCGCAACAGAATCCTTTCTTCCTTCAGCAATGACCAATCCAGAACAGATTCCAATCCTGTATTTGCCAATTACAAGACGTCACCGCTCTAGACCTGTTTTCCCATCTGTTAAGGAAGATTTTTACAGCTTGATCTGTTCTGACCTTCAGATTCACAATACCAGAGTCCTTTGCTAGGGCCCCCTGTTGACCGCGGTCACGCGGGTTCCATCACATTAGAACTCCAACCAGGACAGGAAAGAAACCGCAACCTGGAACCAGACCTTTCTCTAAAACGAAGAACGTTGGAAACCCTCCCATCATGCAGATCATGCCCCCTTCTAATCCCCTGATTTGCTCCTGGCTGGCCTCTCAGCAAACGCAGAGCCCGCCGGCGTCTAGGGGCTTGTCACCCTGTTAGCGGATTTGTTTCCGAAGACGGCGCAGTTAATTGGCCCTTTATGTGGGGATCAGGGCGTATTTGCTCAGGGTTCCCTGAGCGGAGGCAGCAGCTCAGCCCCTGGGCACTGCCGCTTTCTAATCCCTGTCATCTGGGTTTGGAAACTGGACAAATAGTGGAAGTACTTTTCTCCTTTCTAGGACACTCCCGGCCCCATATTTTGTCCCTCTTCTACACTTCACCCTTGTCCATACGCTCTCATTCCTCTCCCCACTTTTCCTTCTTGTTTCTCTCTGCTCTTTCTTTTTTCTTACTAGCTCTAGATACCCTCCTTTTAAATTATTTTTTTTTATTAGTGTATTTGTTTTTTTTTTTTATCTTTTTTTTTTTTATTGTTGGTTGTTCAACCTCCTTTTAAATTAACTCAGAACTAAAACTAAAAAGAGGATAGAGTGCTGGCGGGAGGTAACACAAAGGGTGAGTGTTTGTCAACCACAGCACAAGGTTCGGCTCTTTTCCTCCTCCACCTCCCGAGGGCAGGCAGAATGTCCCTAGACCTCCAGGTCTGGCAAAGAATGGATCCCAGAGGGAGGAGAAGGCCCAGTGGAGGCCACACTTCCCAGCTCTTCTGCAGCCTTCTCCTTTCCTTCCCCATTTTTACTATGGTCCCAGGGCAACCTGAAACCTGACCCCCAGCTTTCATGTGGGCTGTTTCCAAAGGCATTTCTGGAGAGGGTTTGTGTCCTACTTGTTTTCTTACTGTCTACTCCTTCCCCTATCCAAATTACTAAGATAGCTCTTTGAATTTTCCTCTTGTTTTGAGGGAAAAGGTAAATGTATTTTTTTTTCCATTTCCTAATCTGTACAGCTTAGGTGGTTGTGTTACACCTAAAAATACTCAGTAAATACTCTGGAATCAGAGAAACCTCATCCAGGGCCAATGCAGTTAGTTTGTAATCTCTCATCTTAGGGTGAAGAAAGAGTCAGAGTTAAGTTCAGGGCTCCCCCCACCTACCACTTTGGGAAACTCTCTTCTGGAGTTTTACCAAAGATACATAACAGTCCAAACTCTATATAAGGGTAAGGAAGAGAAAAGGGGTTTTAAAGGGAACTTGTTAGAAGAGAGAGTAGCAGAAGGAGGGGAGTATAAGAGGTGTTGAATTTGTGGAATTAGGGGTTAGGTTTATTCATATAAGGTTATGACCTTTGATGGGAAGAAATTGGATGTGTGTGTAGTGTGTGTGTGAGAGAGAGAGAAAGAGAGAGAGAGAGAGAGAGAGAGACAGAGAGAGAGAGAGAGAGAGAGAGAGAGAGAGAGAGAGAGAGAGAGAGAATATGAGGATGAGCATATGCATGAGTGTTAATGTATTTCGGTGGGTGCCTTTATGTGAAGGTGAAGTTATAGAAAAAAGCATAAGGCCAGGCATTTATGAGATAGATATGGAAGAGGAGTATTTCTTTCCCAGGGTGGTATTTGGAACAAGTGGGTTTCCAGAGAACAGGGAGAATAGGAAATGGAAGCAATCATGAGTTAACACTTACACAGTAACCTGAAGGGGTGTGTGTGTGTGTGTGTGTGTGTGTGTGTGTTGGGGGCAAGAGTAGCTAACTTCCTCGGCCTAGTGCCAGCATGAAGGCCAGAGAATGTGGCTGGGAATTTTCAGTGGCCAAGCTGGGGAGGCTTCTTGGTGGTCCAAAGTCTGCATGCCAGCTGCTTGTGGATGAGCTATTGCCCATGAGGGCAGTCTGAGGACAATCTCCCCACCAATCTCACATTGATTACTACCTCTGACTCCCCGACAGTACACACACACAACGCCCAGTCCATTTGCATCCCCCCAGAGCCTGCAGCTTCCCTTCACTATCTCTGCTTGGACCCTATCCCAGGGTACTAATATGAATTGAGCATATGTGTTTTTTTTATGGGAAGGGGTAAAGGACCCCAATATCTATCCTGCTAGACTATGCTTGTGAATGGCCCAGCAGAGCTGCCAGCTTCTGAGTAATGATGCCAGGGGGCTGTGACCCAGCCGGCAGGAGCCAGAGGGCCAAACAGGAGGAGGAATCAGAGAGCAAAGACCAGGCACCCAGCTGGAAAGCAGACAGCAGGAGCTGCCCCCAGCAGGAGTCAGAGTTTGTTGGCTCAACCCCTGTACTGCTGAGATAATAAGCCAGGGCCCCCTACCCAAGAGAACCCCTATCCCCACAGGGTTCCACTGGAAGACCCTTCCAGGAGACACTTTGCCATACAACCCACCAAGTCGGGAAATCTGGAGGCAATTGGGCAGAAATGTCCACATCCCAGAACAGATGTAACATAGGCTAGGGAGAAGGGCTTTCTTGGTTCCTGTTATAAAACTAGGTACACAGCAAGCAAGCACTCCATAAATACATGCTTAGTGAATATAGCTGATTAAATAGTTAATCCTCACAACTGCCCCTCTGGGCCTACTAGCCTCCTTCCCCCACCCCCTCTCTCTTCCTGTGTTAGGACTGCTTCTAGGACCACTGTAACAAACTGGCTCAAACTGAGTGGCTTAAAGCAACAGAAATGTATTTTCTCAGTTCTGGAAGCTAGAAGTCTGGTATCCAAGTGTCTGCTGAGCCATGCTCTCTCTGAGAGCTCTAGAGGAGGATCTTCCCTTGCCTCTTACAGCTTGCAGTGCTTGCCAACAATCCTTGGCATTCCTCAGCTTGTAAATGCAACACTTCATTTTTTCCCCTAATATTGTTGATTAAATCTAGGACCTTGTGCATGATAGAGAAGCAGTATACCAGTGAGCAACACCCTCAGCCCCATCACTTCAATAT